TGGTGCATAAACTTGGATTATTGTGATGTTGAAAGGTCTGCCTTGGATTCGTATTGACATCATTCTGTCATTTTTGAGATTATATCCCATTACAGCTTTTCCCACTCTTTTGTTAACTATGAGGGCTACTCCATTCCTTCTATGGGCTTCTTGCCCACAATAGTAGATATGGTAATCATCTGAATTGAATTCTTCCATTCCCGTCCATTTTAGTTCACTGACACCCAGGATGTCAATGTTTATTCTTGCCATCTCCTGTTTGACCACATCCAGCTTACCAAGGTTCATAGAGCTTACATTCCAGGTTCCTGTGCAGTATTTTTCTTTCCAGCATCGGACTTTCCTTTCACTTCCAGGCACATCCACAGCTGAGCATCCTTTCGGCCTTGGCCCAACCACTTCATTAGCTCTAGCGCTACCTGTACTTGTCCTCCGCTCTTCCTCAGTAGCATGAAGGATGCCTTTTGACCTGAGGAGCCCATCTTCCCAGCGTCTTAACTTTTAGCCTTTTGTTTCTGATCATGGGGCTTTCTTGGCAAAAGATACTGGAGTGGCATTGCCATGTCCTACTCCAGGTGGATTGCGTTTAGTCAGAACTCTCCACTATGACCTGTCCGTCTTGGGTGGCCCTGCACGGCATAGCCCATAGCTTCTCTGAGTTACTCAAGCCCCTTCGCCACGACAAGGCAGCAATCCATGAAGGGATTGAAATGATCACACAGCAAAACAGGGTGAGCTGATAATTGTCAATGACTGGGGAACAAAAGAAGCAGAACTAAACAGTGTTGAAGAATGTTGTTTGGGAAGCAGAAACAATGCAAGAGAGCAAATCTTAGAGCTCTGTGAAGCCAACTGTATTTTTAATGTCATACAGTATACATATGCCAGGCAACCAAACATGACTGTACACATGAAGGTCACAAGATGGCACATAAAGCTATCAAACAGACTACTGGAAGCGAAAGATAGAAAAGCGATATGCTTTCTACTTTCTGGATTATCTGTATGCAGAAAATATTACCAATATTACCAAGACCAAAGATGAGAAAAACCATGATTATAGAAGAACAGTGCAACTGTTGTGACAATATAGAAATTCGAACAGTTACACATTTTGTATACTTTGGTTCAGTTATTAATCCAAATGAAAACTGCAGCTAAGAAATCAAACTGAAACTTGGAAGCACAGCTATGAAGGAAGTAGAAAAGATCCTTACTGTGATATTTTTGATTACTGTGTATAGATGTGAAAACTAGACAGTGAAAAAAAATGACAGGGGAAAAATTCATTCAAATTGTGCTGGAGGAAAGCTTTATGGATAGGCAGCCAGAGAGACAAATAAATGCATACTAGCTCAAACCAAGCCTGAACTCTCTGGAAGTGATAATGACTAAACTAAGGCTGTCATTCTTTGGGCATATCATGAAAAGATGACACTGGAAAATGCAGTATTCCCAAGAAAATCTGAAGAGAGCAGAAGAAGAGGGAGACAAAACAGAAGTATAGATCGACTCACTAAATGAATCACTGGCTTATGTTTGCAAGAGCTGAGTAGGACTTTCAATTGTAAGATTTTTCAGAATGTATTAATTTGGGGGGTCAGCATAATTCAGAAGCAACCTAATGGCACAGAACAACAACAGCAATTGAACTGAGGCTGATGAGAATGGATCCTGCAATTTGAAACGTGGTGTTAAAGATACCTTTTGATTTTTAAACAAACACAACAATTGAACTCTTGATTTATTGGAAGCCCATTTCACTTTTTCAAGATGATTTCTAGAGAATTTCCTCGAGTTTTTTTGTTTGTTTTTGCTTTTATCTTTTGGGACTCCTCATTTCAGTACCAAACAGCAGTAAGATCACTAGGTTTTTTATATCACACACACACACACGAGAGAGAGAGAGAGAGAGGCGTCTTTAAATTTTGTGGCTGCTGTATATATATAAATGACCTATATGATATACATAACCTTCATTATATATATCCACATATGATGAAGGTTATGTATATATAGGTATTTTATATATATACAGCAGCCACGAAATTAAATGACGCCTGCTTCTTGGGAGGAAAGCAATGACAAACCTAGATAGCATCTTAAAAAGCAGAGACATCATCTTGACAATAAAAGTCCGCATAGTCAAAGCTATGGTTTTTCCAGTAGCGATGTATAGAAGTGAGAGCTGGATGATAAAGAAGGCTGACTGCCGAAGAATTGATGCCTTTGAATTGTGGTGCTGGAGGAGGCTCTTGAGAGTCCCCTGGACTGCAAGATGGCATTTAAGTAGGGAACCAGTGAGTATTCCCCTATATTCTTAAAAAGTATAGAAAGTAGCATTAATTCATTAATCATAGATAATATAATGAGTTACTTGACACTGGGTAGCATTGTGAGGGCTCTACCATTTTAACCAATGTGCCAAATAACAAGGCTGCACCTTTAGTAAAGATTCGTTGGACACGACTTAACGACTAAACAACTATATATAGCAGTTTGTGTACCTCAGCCCTGGCCAGCAAATCCATGATGAGAGATAACCGGACTTACAATCCAGCTGTTATCTGGAGCGTCAAAAATTTCCCACTCTGCTAGCAGCAAATGCAGTTGTGCTTTGGTTCTGGTTCATGACCTTTCCCTATGGGCTTTTGACAGTCTTTGTCTGAGGTGTGGTGTGCCTTTGTGTTACTAGATGGGATGGTGGTCCTTCCTGTTTAGTCCAGTTTGACAGTGATGACAGATCACATCATTAGGTAAAATAGGCACTCCTTAAATATTGTTCTACTTTGAAAAATTGTATTTGATCTTTATTGTGCAGTCTTCTTATTTAATTTGCAGTGCCTAGCAATGAGGTATGAGAGATTGTCTGTCTGATTTTCCTTCTTTCCTTCCTGGATTGTGATATCAAATGACAGATATGCTTAATTTTTCTCTCTCTTCTTATTGAGTGAAATTGGAGGATACAGTTATTATATTTTGCAAGTGCATAATTGAAATTTGATAAAACAGATTCATATGTTCAGTATAGATGTTTGGACAACATATACTCATCGGGGCATAGTGCATCGGGGCATAGCACAACCACAGCTAGACTGTGGCGAGACAGGTCAGTCCAGTTTTAAGTCATGTCATGTCTAAGGCAATACGTAGGAATAATTTTTCATCAAAAACTGAAACAAGACTCTTGTTGTTCATGTGTTTTTAAGGACCTGGAAATGGAAAATCAACAAAATCTATAGCTGTGCCTCCAGGACCACCTGTTTATTTGGATCTGGTATATATTCCCAACCACAGCAATAGCAAGAATGTGGATGTAGAGTTTTTCAAACGGGTGAGGTCCTCCTACTACGTGGTGAGTGGAAACGATCCTGCAGCTGAAGAACCGAGCAGGGCTGTCCTGGACTCCTTGCTGGAGGGCAAGGCTCAGTGGGGAAGCAACATGCAGGTAGGCTGCCTGCTACTGGCAGATTAAAACGTGAAAAGTGAATAACCACAAGGAGATGCAGAAAGCCGATTAAACTGAAGTGTTAGGAAGCTGCTTTTATTTGATAGCCATCTGTGTCTCTTCGAGATTTTTCTAGTCAAAACAAAGGAAAAAGAGTTTGTTAACGCACTTTGATGACTTTTGAAAAATAAATAAATCAGTAAATGATATATTTAATGGGGAAAATATTCCCACCTCTTAATTCTCCCCAGTTATTTCTGTAACTAGGAAAGATGAGCTGTATATTTTTAGTTGATTAATTGTATGTTTATTAATTTTTCAAACTGTAAATAAATTTTAAAAGTATTGTAACTTCACAACTTTTAGAGATAGTGAAGGAAACTTAAAAGTGGAATTAGACATGGTGAAGATGGGCCCACATCTTGACATGCAAGTCACCCAACATAGTAAATCATCACTGCATATGTAACTCTCAGGGCTCTCCTTCCGGGTGGTTTTGGTAATTTCTGCTTCCTCCTCTTTCTAAGGCTTTAGTTGTAGGTTTTATCCATTGGAGCCTAAATTTGGCAGGGTTATCAGGGAAAAAGGAGAGATGGTAGAATGTATCACTTCCATTCTCCTGATTTAGCAATCCCTCCACATCAGCATCCTTAAAAAAAGATTATTTCAAAAGTGTGATAATTTGGATTAAGTACAAAGACTTACAATCCAAGTCCATGCTCTTAACTCATTGATTATATCTGCTGTTCCTTTATTCTTGCATTGTAGGTGACTTTAATCCCAACTCATGATTCAGAAGTGATGAGGGAATGGTATCAAGAGACCCATGAAAAACAACAGGACCTTAACATCATGGTTTTGGCAAGCAGCAGCACTGTTGTGATGCAAGATGAATCCTTCCCTGCATGCAAGATCGAACTGTAAAAAAAAGAAAAGAAAAAGCAATGCATCACAACTTTAAACTTTGTTTCCAGAAATATCTTCAATTTGAAAACATCTTTTCTAAAAATATAATGCATCTAATTCAGCTGCTGAACTATATATACCTGCCAAATGCTATACTATATCACAGTGATGGAAGTCACTAATTGTTTTTTTTTTAATTTGCCCCGGTCTTTGCTGATTGCTAAGGGAAATAACAGTATTCCCAACCATAGGGTTCAAATTACTGCAAACACTGCAGATCCAGACTCATCTCTGTTGAAAACTTGGAAACCATGCACTAGCAAACACTGCTGACTTCTGCCAGATTAGGGGCATTTGCCCTTGAGAGAGAAACCCAGGGAGAAAGAGAGAGAGAGAGAGAGGTAGAGGAGAATGAAATCATTAGTTCTGCATTATTGTCAAAGCAATCAATGTATTGCTTCCTACAGTTGCCCATCACAAAAAGAAAGAAGTATGTTTGCATTAGTCTGAATTATGGCAAGAGTGGTGATTTTTAATTTAGTGGCAAATTAGCTTGGAATTCAAGCAAAACTGAGCGTGGCTTTGAAAGGACAGGAGGTCTAAATGCACTCACTTGCTGTTAGCAACTTCATTTTTGATGCTTCACATACACACCTCACATAAATCTCTTAGGCAATACTGTGCAAGCAGTTTGAACTCCATTCAGTCTGACATGCAAACATGTTGGTCTAAGGCATGCTCCCATCTAGTCTTCTCAAATTTGACGAACCTTGCATGCTGAAACACCTGAGTCCCAGTCAAGTTTACTGAAGCGAAATACCAAAGCAGTTGGGAGTACCTATGGTAGACAATTTGCCTTAGAAAGTGACTTGAATGTACAAAGATACTTGATGCACTTATTTTTTAATGCAAGATGGCAAGTTTATAAACCATCTATTGTAGGATTATAGATACACACCAGTACAGAAGAAGTGTGTGTGTGTGCATGTGTGCTAATGCAAACCTCTCTGATTGGTCAAACAGCTTGGTGCTATGAATTATGTGTGTAAGTGAACACTTCATTAGTGCACTTGAACCGCATCTTTTTGGGGGGGGAAGTTCCCCCCTTTCTTTTTTCGCTTTTTGGAAGCATGCAGGAAGGGTGCCCAGTGTCCTAAATGTAAACCTTAACAGATACAGTCAGAATGTTGCGAAAAGGTTCTCTGCGCATCTGTATAGTCCTCTCGAAGCCTTCGTCTTCACGTTATTTTGACTGTTAATTTAAGAGTGAATATGGGAACAAATGTACAGAAGAAATTTTTTTAGCTCTGCATGAACTTTTAATAGATGAATTTTTAAACAGAAGTTTCATTTACGGGAAAATGCACAGAAAAAAAAATTTTTAGGCGGAGGCAGGTTTTTTAGTAGTTTTGTAAGGCAACGCATGATGTTGTTTTGAGGTCCTGGTGAGAATGAAATACGATATAGCAGTAACATATTCACTGAAGACAGTTAGGTGTCGAAGATTCCTTTGAAGGACGTAGGCTAACAAACATTGTTACATGTTAGTGATCTGAGGACGGAAAGGTTAGCTGGCTTTTCCTCAGCCAGACGGCAGCCTAGGCTGAGTGATCTGAGGACGGAAAGGTTAGCTGGCAGCCTAGGCTCTGGGCTTGCCCAAGGATACAAGCAACCTCAAGCGGTCATTTTTGGCAGTGGTGTTTTGTGTGGGATCAGTGAATGGAGTCCATGTTTGAAAGTTTCTCAGCAAGATCCTTTTTGATGCTTTGAGTGATCCTGCAGCGTACTTCACAAGCCTGCCCAGTGCTGCTGATTGGAGTAACAGAGAGTATCCTTCTTGGGCCAATTTTACGTAGAGGAAATCAGCTTGAGGAAGTTTAAGACGGGCCATTTGTCTTCCCAGCGTTTGCAGTTCCCTTTGAAAAGTAGAGCCAGGGCTGTGTAGATGTTGCAGTTCTATGAGAAGACCACAGAAAGGCTGTCGATTGTGGTCCTGGCCACCTAACTCAACTCTCAAGAATCTCCGCTGCCATGTTTTTTAAAGCAAAGTTTTAAAACCATGAAGTTAAAGAAGAAGGCAGAGACTATTCTGATCAGGGTTTCTGGCAATCAGAGATTGCAAGTATGCATTATCTATGCGGGTTGCAGAATTCAGTTTTAGTGGCAAATAATTTGATCTCCCCTAATGCAAAAGTGCGCTTAGAAAATTTGAGACACAGTCTAAGTCTCTGTTTTGTTACTAAGATGGGCTCCAAGAATTAGAAAAGGATAAGACCTGTAGTAGCTGAAACCTCATAGTGCTGGTATTAAGAATGTTTTTGAGGACCAGACTGCATGTCCCCACTATCTATAATGATAAGCATCATGTTTTACTTTGCGGCTTTGTACAGAATTTACATAAGTTTGTTTCCTCAGTAATAGGAATTTGCACTGCTCTGTGCCAATCATTTTTGGAGAAGGCTTTTGTTCCATTTAGTGGGCAAACTGCAGCGTTTTGTTTTCTATTTGTTGTATAATTTATTTCAATTGTTAACATTGTTTATTTTTGTTTTATTTTATAGATGTGCATATACTCTGCTAATTTTAAAAAATATTTTTAAAATACTACTTCAGACCCCCTTTAATTTGGGCGATGCCGCCCTGTTAATGCTGTGAAACATGGTTTGTTAAAATGTTCTTGTGCATTTTAAAAGCCGAATATTTTACTTTTGTTTGATATTTCCAGCAATGCTGCTTTATTTATTGTTTTACCCTGGTCTTTCAACATTTCTGTTCTTGTGATCCCTTTGATTTTTATTGAAACAGTGGAAAGCACTAGTAAGTTGGGGCCCCGGTCTTTAAAAAAAAATCTGTATGGTTATGTGAAAGGCAAGTGAAAGAATTAGATTTGCTAAACTCATCGTCGCTGATGCTACATTTCTTTTCTAATGCTAATATCAGAAAGATAAGTTTGCACCCAAAGAAAGTGTAGTACTGTATGCTGTTTCCTCATAGTAGGTATAACAGAATTCCATGCAGGGCAATTGACAGGTATTCAATCTATTGTTTTGCTTGTATGTGGAAGCCCAGTTGACACCATGCAGCTCAAGGGACCATATGTTGCTCCCAATATTATGCCTGCCTGCCCTTTTCCCCTTCTCTAGCTCAGCAATGGCTATGTGGTACAAATACCCAATATCTGCTGATAAGGTGCAGTCTTGAAAGTACATTTCATCTGTACCGGATCAGCCAACTCAGTATTCTCAACAAGACGTTATACGCTGGTGGCTGTGATCAGGTACTGGACAACCCGTTACTGTATTGTATCCAGAGCGTTGTTAGCTCAGTGAGTAAGAGACTTTTACAGCTTAATTACTGAGCTTGCAAAATGAGTGATTTTAGACTAGAACGTCTAGAATCTAGCAATTGCCGTGCTGGCTTGGAGGATTCTGAGAGTTCTAGTCCAAAAAAAAAATGTTTATCAAGTTTTACCTAATCCCCTATTGACTTAAGAGCAAATCTCATTGAGTTCACTGGGGCTGATTTCAAATTTAGATAGCCAGGGATTGCAAGGGGTCTCATCTATCGAATTGTTGATGTAGTGCTCCATATTTAACAAAATTTATAGAATTAGTGTTCTACATTTTTTAAACAAATTGTTTTGATGCTGAACAAAACTTAAGATATTGTTGAATATTTTTCATTACCTTCTTGCAAAAATAAAAATGGACAATTCTCCATTGTCCTGTTGATAAACAGAAGGTTGACACTTAGCTAACATTCAACTGCTTCTTTGACTGAAAAATGTTCTGCTTAAAAGAGCCATGTGTGCAGAAAATAAATGTCTGTCTTGATCCTCCTAAGAATTGGCAGCCCTCCTAGCAGAGCTTGGGAATGTTAATTTTTTGAACTATGCCGGCCATGTGGTTGGAGGTGTTTTTACTACAGTTCAAAACACCAACTTTCCCAAGCTGAGCCAAGGGAAATGTGTATCAGCAGTTCAATTGAGGCAAATTTCTTGAAATCAATGTAACAGTGCAGTTCCATACTTGTCTACTTAGAAGTAAGCCCCATTGAGTCCCATGGGTCTTATGCTTAGGGTAAAAATGGTTAGGACTGCAGCCTTACTGGGGTTCAAAATTTGGCCTTAACACTCTTTCACTTTAAGCACATTTTATCACTTTCATATTATTTTTATTATAGAAGCAGAAAACGTGACCAGGTTTTTGTTTGGCTTTTTTTTTTTTTTGCATCAGATGCACTTTCTTTGATGCTTCAGAATTTCTAAAAGCCCCACTTGGCGGTTGGATGTCAGCTAACCTTTTCCTGCGTGAAAATGTGGCATTTTTTCCAAGGCTTGGGAGCAAAGATCCCGCTGTGTAGGCGCAGTCTCATTGAGCCATGCCTTCAACCATCCCCCCCCCAGCCCCTTGAGCTTCCTGAAAACTGGCTCCTGAGGATTGGTTACCCTTCCAGAGTGCCTTTTTTTTTTTTGAGGGCTGAGGAGGATGCAGTGGGTGTGACATCATTGCCTGCCATGTGCATCAGTGGAAGTGCCTTCCCCTTGAGCCACCGTAATCTTTGGAGCCAAGCCTGTGGTTATCCATCTTTTGGTTACCACATTGAGACTGCAAAAGTAAGATATGCATTTTATAAGCAAATCTCTTCTTTCAGAGACACACACAATTTCTCATGACAGCTGGTCCTAGCCTTTTGCTTCATTGTAGTTTTGTGAGAAGCTCCTCTTGACCAAATTAATATCTTGCTTGCCTGTGCAGCTAACACAATTGTGTTGGTTGCAATCATACACAATTGAGTTAGTGACAGTCAGTCAAGAACTACCATGGACATTGAGCTCTGTGGCTGGGCACAGATTAGTAGAAGAAGCATAGTTCAGACTAATATTGAGCAGTCTGATTTTAATGTGTCAATACGTGGGTGTTAAGAGCACTCCAGAAAATGCTATTACCCCTTGGTAAAATTCCCCTAATCATGGCCTTTACTAGAGTACTCTACTGCTGAATGAAATTCAGTCACATTATTCCAGATCATAGTCC